ATGTAAAAAATAATCAAGTGACACAACCTTAGTCTGAGGATCATTGATTGTTGTAGCTAGTACCTCTACAATTTCTACTCCGTTCCCTCAGCACCCTGGGATATATTCCAACTAGACCAAGTAACTTATCCACTTTAAGTACCTCCTGTTTAACCATTTTTACCTTGTCCAGCATCCTCTACAATGACTGCAGCTTTGGCAAAGTTGTTTTCCTTGGGAAACATCAAGTAAAGCACTTTTTCTATACCTTCAATACCTAAAGACCAAAAATGTCTTTTGCCTCCACCAATGGTCTTAATGTTAGTTTCAAGATTCAGTGCCTTTTCTGGAAATTGCACTAAAAATACTGTGTCCAGCTATAGGCTGTATAAGACACCTCTTTCTGCTCTGGGTATAATCAGGATATAGTCGGGAGTGTGATGGAATACTCCCCACTTGTCTGGATGAGCGCAGCTCCAACAAGAAACTCCACTCAAAAAACTCATCACCATCCAAGACAGTGCATTCTGTTTGATTGGCTCCACATCCACCACTTGAAATGCTCACTCCCTTCATTATTGGTAGACAATGGCAGCAGTGTGTACCATCTACAAACCAGACCACATCTCACCAAGGATCTTTCAACAGCACCTTCCAAACGCACAACTTGTATCATCTAGAAGAACAAGGGCAGCAGACACATGGGAGCACCGCCATCTGTAGGTTTCCTCTCCAAGCCACACACTATGCTGATTTAGAACTTTCACTGTCACTGGATCAAAATTCAGAAACTCCCTCCCTCACAGCCCTGTGGGTATCATTAGTGGTTCAAGAAGACAGCTCAACATCGCCTTCTCCAGGGCCATTAGGGTTAGGCAACAAATACTGGCTGAGCCAGCTGCACTCCCATGAAGGCATGAAAATATCCTGAATCCTCAGACTGAATTGACATCCCCATATATATTCTTGGATATACAAGATTGAATTCCCAAGATAATGAAATTAAAAGGCATGCAATTGGAAAACCTTCAGAGTGGAATTCTGGTATTGCCTCTTTCAGTCACCTCTGTTCTGTTTTAGGGGTGAGTGTGTGGTGGGTGGCTGGCTGGCACTGATTTGAGATGTGTGCCAACCTGTACCCTTTCTGCTGAAAATCTGTATTGAATGTATTAAAGAGGAACTGTTTCTACCGGCAGGTAGGACAGTAATGAGAGGACACCGATTTAGGATCATTGACAAAGAAAAACTAGAAATGAAATAATTTATTAACGCAGTGGCTTGCACAGGAAGATTCAACAGTGACTTTCAAAGGGAATTGGATAGCACTTGAATAAGAAAAATTCGCAAAGTTATGAGAAAGAGCAAGGGAGTGGAAGTAATTGGATAGTTCTTTCAAAGAGCTGACACAGGCACAGTGGGCTGAATGGTCATTTATGACTCTCCCAACAAAGGCATTTTATGGACCAGATCCTCTCCAGCTCAAGAAATTTAAGCCACAAGGGATTGTGAGGGTAAATATAAACTTCAAATAGAGTGTGATATCCCTGTGAGGGAACATATGAAGGAAAGTTCTGGTGAGCTGCAGTATAATTGAATGGAAAAAGGATGAATCATTATGAGTGCATGAAAACTCACTGATCAAAGCATGCTGGAGATATTTGTGGTCAGCCCAGTGGATTGGTTATGTGATTAATGGTCAGATTAATAGATGTCGTGCAGCTCCTTCTGCACCTTATTTTCCAGCGGTCCCCAGGACTGACATCAACAAGCTTTTTAAAAACAAGTTTTTAATTGTGCTCATGTGGGACTTCTGTTTATGTGATCTATTACACCTTACCATTACAGACAGATGTCTGATATATTGCACAAACTTACACAGCAAGAAATAAATTGCTGTTTAAAAAAATCTTTAATAAGATTTGTGTGTGAGTTTGAGTGCATTGCCCACAAATGGAGACCAACGAGGAAGATAATTTGGTCCAAACCGCCTCATCTAGCAGAAAGAAAACTATAACTGCCCCTTCCTTTTCAGTTAATGCATCCAGCTGTTTTTTAAATTGATGCCAGGGCTTTTGTCTCGACTGCTCAAAGCAATGTCTGCTCTGTTGTAATTCTCTTCCATCAACCCTAAATTTACCTTTCTTTACTTATGAACTGTTCTCACAACTTGGTCTGCAGTTGTGTTAAGAATTAGGCTTATTTATTATGTTACCTTGCTTTTTAAGATGTCAAAAATGGAAAGGAGGGTTAATACGATGTGTTTGTGGTGACCAGCACTGGTAACAATCCTTGGAAATGCAGTTTGGTCAGAGCATTTTGCTATTTGCTTTCCTCTTTTGACTTTGTAGTGCAACCCTCTGTTTCGCTTGTTGATTGCTGCTTTACAGTGGTTGCAAACCAAAAGTGGATGAAATTCACTGCACCTTTTCAGAAGGTTTTGATTCCTTGCTGTTATATTTGGGCATCATTCATTTCTGCAATGGCTGTTATTCCAGCTTGGAGCTAACTCAATAAAGACCATGATAACTAGGACTGCTCCAAGCAGCTTTTCTTAGCAGCTCACATCAACAATCAACATTTGCTGAGTGTTTATGGAGTTAAAGCTATGGAGTCATACAGCACAGCAACAGACCCTTTGGCCCAACTCATCCATGCTGACCAAAAAACCAGTTTCCAAAATTGAACTAGTCCCATTTGCCTACGTTTGGCCCATAGCCCCCTCAACCTTTCCTATCCATTTACTTGTTCAAATGTCTTTTAAATGTTGTAATTGTGCTCACCTCTACCACCACCTCTGGTAGCTCATTCCATATACACACCACCCTCTGTGTGAAAACGTTGCCCCTAAAGTCCCTTTTAAATCTTGCCCCTCTCACCTTAAACCTATGCCATCTAGTTTTGGATTCCCCTACCCTGGGGAAAAGACCTTGGCTATTCACCTTATATATGCCCCTCATAATTTTATAAATCTTTATAATGTCATCCCTCAGCCTTCTATACGCCAGCGAAAAATGTCCCACCCTATCCAGCCTCCCCTTAACTCAAACCCTCCAGTGTTGGGAACATCCTTGTAAATTATTTTTGCACCCTTTCCAGTTTAATCATATGCAGTACTCCCAATGTAGCCTTACCTTGTATAGCCGCAACATGACAATCCAACTCCTATACTCAGTGCTCTGACCAGTGAAGGCAAGCATGCGAAACACCAGCTTCGCCTTCCTGTCTACCTGTGACACCACTTTCAAGAAACTGTGTACCTGCGCCCCTTGGTCTCTCTGTTTGACAACATTCTCCCAGGCCCTGCCAGTAACTGTCTAAGTCCTGCCCTGGTTTGTCTTATCAAAATGCAACACTTCACATTTATCTAAATTAATCTCCATCTGCCATTCCTCGACCCACTAACCTAGTTGATCAAGATCCTGTTGTTCTCTAGATAACCTTCTTCACTGTACACAAACTACCAATATTGGTGTCATCCGCAAACCTACCAACCATGCCTCTTACATTCTCATCCAAATTATTGATATAAATATGAAACAACAGTGGATGCAGCACTGATCCTTGCAGCACATTGCTGATCACAAGCCTCCAAACTGAACAACAACCCACTACCACTGCTCTCTGTCTCCTATCATCAAGCCAATTTTGTATCCAATTGGCTCGCTCTCCTTGGATCCCATATGATCGAATTTGCTAACCAGTCTACCATGCGAAACCTTGTCAAAGGTCTTGCTAAAATCTGTGTAGGTAACTTCTACCACTCTGCCTCCATCAATCTTCTTCGTCACCTCTTTAAAAAAACTCAGCCAAGTTTGTGAGAAAGCCATGTTAACTATCTCTAATCAGTCCTTGTCTTTGCAAATGCATGTAAATCCTGTCTGTCAGAATCCCTTCCAACAGTTGCTCACTGTTCTGTAGTCACCTGGCTTTCCCTTGCAGCCTTTCTTAAATAATGGCACCATATTTGGCACCCTCCAGTCTTCTGGCACCTCACCTATGGCTGTCAGTGATATAAATAACTCCGCTCAGGGTCCCTTAATTTCTTCCCTAGCTCCCCACAATGTCCTGGGATATACTCGATCATGTCCCAGTAATTTATGCAGTTTAAGACCTCCAGCACTTCCTCTTCTGTAATGTGGACTCTTTTCGAGACATCACTGTCTATTTCCCCAGGTTCCCTAGCTTCCATGTATTTCTCCACAGTAAATACTGGCCCAAAATATTCATTTAGGATCTCACCCATCTCCTTCACTTCCACACATAGATGACCTCGTTGATCTGCTCCTCCTGATTTCCCTCCTAAGTGTACTCCTACACCACCTATATCCTCAAGGGATTCACTGATCCCAGCTGTTTATACCTGACATATGCCTCCTTTCTCTTGATCAGAGCCTCAATATCTGTAATCATCCAGTGTTCCCTACTCCTGCCAATCTTGCCCTTCACACTAACCAGAACATGCTGGCCCTGAACGCTTGTTGTCTCATTCTTCAAAATTTTCAGTTTTAGCACAAGCATCGCTGTTTTGATTTCATCCCCTTTTAAAGGCAAAAGTATGATTTTCTGTTTTATAAATGTGAGGTTTATTACTCAATAATGGTCTAAAATAATTGAGGTGAAGAAAGTGATCCATTTGGAAGAGGGCTTGCATAGCAAGTCAATACTTTAACATATTGAAGAACCCAGACCAGGGACTGAGATCCAAATACTATTGCACTAGAAAAGAGCAAGGAAGGGCAGGTGGTGAATGGAGGTCCTGGTGGATTATGTCAATTTGGATTTCAAAATCCTTTTGAATGAATGGAAATGGACGAAGCAGGTATTTCCACAGTTCTTGAGCTGGGTAAAGAAATAATTCACAGCTGGAGATAGATAAAATGCACTATTTCTTCAACCTAACTTGTGTTCTCACAAACCTGTTCTACTTTTCTCTTTAAACTGTAAAGGTTTGTATTAAAGGAAAGAGATTTGTTTTAACAGATGGCTGTTATATGGAAAACTCACATGGGCTTTGTTTGCAGCAAGCAATGGTGCAACTTATCAAGGAGGCAGCTGGGCAGAACGAAGTCTCACCACGAGATGAGTCTCCGACAGAGATCCTCAATCAGGTCTGCCCCTCCACGTGGCGTGGTGCCTGCAAAACTGCTGTGCAGTTGCTGTTTGGACAGGCAGGATTGGTAAGTAGCTGCAACTTTGATTTGTTATTGCCTGTATGGGAGACCACACAGGGCAAATATGCTGGTTTACAATCCGTTTACTGTATTCTGCTCTTAACCAGGCATCAGTGAGAAGTGGTCTTTGCAAGATAGAGTCCAGAATGACAAGTCAGTCTAGTAATTGTAATCCATTCTCAGCACCTGGTTGGAATTGCATTACTGGAAGCCTTGGAAACAAGATTACTATTATTTCTTTAGCTGCATACAACGTATGCACTGAAGATCACACTTTTTTTATAACTAATTAACAGACTGCATTCTTGTTATGTCATCTTCACAGCATGCTTTCCTACTTTGTCATCTCTAATTTATCAACTTTGCATTCAATTCCCTCATCTAAGACATAGACATAAATTGTAAAACATTGAGGGCCCAGCACACATCCCTGTGGGCCCCAACTCATCAGAACCTGCCAATCTGAAAAAGATCCATTTATGCAGACTCTGTTTTCTGTCATCCTGCCAGCCAGTCTTCTGTTCATGTTAATATTTTACCCCCATGTCATGATTTCCTACTTTGCACAAAAATCATTGTGCAATTTTGTCACATGCCTTCTGGAAATCCAAGTACATGCATCCACAGGTTCCCCTTTATCTACAGAACATGTTACGCCTTCAAAGAATCCCTTCCGCCCAGCCCAGCCCAGCCCAGCCCAGCCCACAAATACCCTTTGACTCCCTTGTTTGTCAAGAATTTATCTACCTCTGTGAAATAACTGCACAGAGGCCGGGTCCCATCACCATTCACTCTTTACTTACTAGTGCAGAATACACTGGCTGTGGCTCAGAAGTCAGTCCATAGCTTCGGAGATTCTAATCTGGTTATATTGGTCAGCCAAGGCTTTCCTGATTTGGCCCAGGTTAACACCCCTAATCAAGAACCTCACAGTTAATGAGGTCAACCTGTTCCCAATCGCTGCACTCTGCCTTAAAAATATTCAATGAACCTGCCTCTACCACTCACTGGTAAAGAGAGTTCCTAAGACTCACTATCCTCAGGCAGAGAAGAAATTCCCCTGATCTCTGTCTGAAATGGGTAAACCTTTGTTTTTGAACAGCGTAACGTACTTTTAGGCTTTCCCAAAAGAGGGGACATCCTTTCAACAACCACCTTGCCAAGTCCCAACATTTAAATATGATCACCTCTCAGTTCTTTTAAATGCCAATAAATGCACATGCAATTTGCCCAGTTTTTCCTCATAAGTTAACATGCCTAAACTAGGTGTAATTCCAGTGAACCTTCTCTGATCTGGGTCTACAAGGCATTTACGTCTTTAGAACAGAATCCCTACAGTGTGGAAACAGGCCATTCGGCCCAACAAGTCCACACTGACTCTCTGAAGAGCATCCCACGCACGCTCACCCCCTAACCTATCCCTGCAATCCTGCATTCCCCATGGTATATCCACCTAGCCTACACAACCCTGAACACTATGAGCAATTTAGCACGGCCAATCCACCCAACCTGCACATCTTCAGACTGTGGGAAGAAACCAGAGCACCCGGAGGAAACCCATGCAGACACTGGGAGAACGTGCAAACTCCACAGAGACAGTTGCCCGAGGCTGGAATTGAACCGGGTCCCTGGTGCTGTGAGGCAGCAGAGCTAACCTCTGAGCCACCGTGCTGCCCCACTTTCTTAAATAAGGAGACCAAAACTGCATACAGAACTACTGATGTGGTTTTACCAACAGGCCAGACAATTGTGGCAAAAAATCCCTACTTGTGTTTGCCATTCCCCTTGCAATAAATTACAACGTTTTATTTGTCTTCTTAATAACTTACTTTACCTGTACTTATAGACTTTCGTGATTCATGTCACACAAGTGCAAGGCAATTGCCATGCCTAACAAGAGAATCCAAGCACCGCCCCTTGACATTCAATGACATTGTCATCACTGAATCCCACATTCCCAATGTTCTGGGTTGCCATTGACCGTAACTTGATCTGGACTATCCCAATGGACTTGGGCGGCACGGTGGCACAGTGGTTAGCACTGCTGCCTCATAGCGCCAGGGACCTGGGTTCGATTCCAGCCTCGGGCAACTGTCTGTGGGGAGTTTGCACATTCTCCCAGTGTCTGCGTGAGTTTCCTCGGTGCTCCGGTTTCCTCTCACTGTCCAAATATGTGCGGGTTAGGTGGATTGGCCATGCTAAATTGCCCGTTGTGTTCAGGGAGGTGTAGATGGGGGGATGGGTCTGGGTGGGTGCCCTGAGGTTTGGTGTGGACTTGTTGGGCCGAAGGGCCTGTTTCCACACTGTAGGGATTCTATGATATATCCATATAAATACTGTGGCTACAAGAGTGGATCAGAGGAATCCTGCAGCAAGAAACTTATCTCCTGATACCCCAAAGCCTGTTCACCAACTACAAGGCACAAGTCAAGAGTGTGGTGGAATTCTGCCCATTTGCCTGGATGGGTAGAGCTCCAAAGACACTCAAGAAGCTTGACACCATCCAGGACAAAGCAGTGTGCTTTTTTGACGTCTCATCCACAAACATCCACTCCCTACACCACTGACACTCAGTAGTAAGAGTGAACACCATCTGCAAAATTCACTGCAGAAATTCACCAAAGCTCCCTACATAGCACCTTTCAATCCCATGGCCACAGCCATGTTAATAGGGCAACAACAGCAGATACATGGAAACACCACCACCTGCAAGTTCCTCTCCAAGCCACTCACCACCCTGACCTGGAAATATATTGCCATTCCTTCAGTGTTGCTGGGTGAGGATCCTGGAATTCCTTCCCTAACAACATTGTGTGTGTATCTATGCCAAATGGACTGCAGCAGTTCAAAAAGGCAGCTCACCACCGCCTTCTCAAGGGCACTTAGAGATGGAAAATAAATACTGGACATAAATAGTGAGGCCCATATCCTTTGAATGAAAGAAAAGAATATACCAGGACACTGATCTTGGGTAGATGTAAGTGTGGAATTCGAGAGACAGATCAACTATGATCTTGTTGAAATGGCAGAGCTGGTTTGAAGAGGCAGCTGGTCTATTTCTTCTATTTTGCAGCTCACCCGCTTTGTTATAACTACTGCATACGTTAAGACACAGACCTTTTTAGTTCTGTCTTTTCACTATTCTTGTAATCTCTGGTTTTGTCTGCTGGTGCACTCTTGGGTTTATACATTCTGTCACTTGCTGCCACAATCTGATTATCATTTCCCTTTAACCACCCTGCTCTCTGACCTTACCTCTTCTCTATTTAATTCATCTCATCCTCTCAATACTGATCCCTCACCCCCAACATTTAAAATTTGTTCTACCTCCCAAGTTATGCAACCCACCAAAATATTAGTCCCAAAACAGTTCAGGTGAAGAACATTCTAACAGTACAGTTCCAATTTTGCCAGTCATGGTGCCAATGCCCTATCAATTGAAACCTGTTTCTCCCATACCAATCGTTTGAACTGGAGCTTTACTACCTTTGAGGTTTTGCTTTTTAGTTCAGCCCCTGTCTGGTCATACTCCTTTAGTGACACCTCTTGTTTTAGTTTTATCTATGTGGATCACAGCCACTGGATCCTATCCCTTCCACAACAAGTTCCTTGCCAGCCCAGTACAGATGGCCCAAACCCTGGCAGGCAACACAGCCTGAGCACTTGCTGCTGGCTACAGAGTATTGAGCCTACCCCCTGACTATATTATTCCCTATGACATTCCTATTCACTCCCCTGGCTGTCTATGCCATAGTCAGTTCACTCTATCACCCTGTAGCCATTGCTCTTGTCCATATATTTGCAGAAATCTCAAACCTGCCAGACAATTGCAAACACTAAGGCTCCACCATTTATCAGGTGTTGGTCCCCTTATCTAATGCATTCGTGGTCACACACAACTATTCCTGACCATGGACGAAACTAGAAGGCTTATGGGTTGTGATCACCTTATGGTTAAAAAGTATCCAGGTACCTTTCCCCTCCCTGATGTGTCACGGTGTGTGTAGTTTGGCCGCCAACTTAAACTCTGAGCCTAAATTCATGCAGCAGCAGACAGATGTGTTTGCTCTGGATCACGTTGGCGTGCAGGAGCTCTTGTTGAATTATTATGTAATCTCTAGTTTTGTCTGCTGATGCACTCTTGGGTTTAGTCTGGGAGTTGGATATAGCACTTGGGTCTGAAGGGATCAAAGAATATGGGGAAAAAGTGGGAACAGGCCCTTGGGTTGGATGATCAACCATGACCATATTGAATGATGGAGCATACTCAAAGGGCCAAATGACTTGTTCCTGCTCCTGTTTTTCTATGTTTTTCTATGTTTTTCTGTTTTTCTATGTTTTTCTATGTTTTTCTATGTTTTTCTATGTTTTT